AACGAAGCAGAACCAAAGGAAACTGAGCAGTACGTTCCGACTCATGGCCATGCAAGTCGTGAGTGCGTACAGAACCATCTCGTCGGAAGCAGTATGCGTTATCGCCGGTATGATCCCAATCGGCATCACCCTGGCGGAGGACAGCGAGTGCTACAGGCGGAGAGAAGCCGGAAGTGTACGGAAAGTTGTGAGAGTGGAGTCATTGGCTAAGTGGCAACAGTAGTGGAACACGACGGAGAACGGTGGATGGACACAAAGACTAATACCGATTCTTTCGACCTGGGTGAACAGAAAACACGGAGAAGTCAATTTCCACCTAACGCAGTTCCTGTCTGGCCACGGCTGCTTCAGGAAATACCTGCATCGGTTCGGACACGCAGCGTCACCCCTTTGTCCGGAATGTGGCAACGTCGATGAAACGCCGGAGCATGTGGTCTTCGACTGTCCAAGGTTCGAGGCAGTGCGAACGGAGATGCCCGTCCTTAACGTGGAGAATGTCGTCGTTGATTGTGTCGAGAGGAGGACACTTGGAATGCCGTCAGCAGGGCAGTCACGCAGATTATGTCGGAGCTGCAGGCTAAATGGAGAGAAGAGCAGCGATCTAGCAACGCCAGCTAGCGCTGAGAGTACGACAAGTGCATGAGCACAGCCATCCCTCGAAGTAGTCGCTTTACAGTGGTCCCGGGGGGATCCAGGCAGAGGAGAGAGTAAGGAATGGGTTTTAGTGGAGCTGTACTAGGCAACTAGTGGATACCACACAGTAGATACCACACCGTGCCAACTTCACTACAGGCTAGGCTTCTTGAAGCTTTCCTAAACCTTACTATAAAAAAAGAAAACAAAAAAAACATGCATAACGTACATAATTTTCAACTAGCCCCTCAACCCCCCTTCCCCTGCTTTGATTTTGCCACCGCTGCACATTTAATTCTCGAAAAATGTCATTTTTGAGCTAGACAATCAATAAAATACGAATACGACTGTACAAAACAGTCCACCTCAACCAAAACTAATTGAATCATATAGCCTGACAAAATCGGGTCAAAAAGCTGACAAAATCGGGGGTAGACAAAATCGGGGGTAGACAAAATCGGGGGCTGACAAAATCGGGTCACCACTGTATTAAAAATTGTGCGACCCGCGGTGTGCTCGGAAAAAAAAAATATTTTCCGGAATTAGCTGTTGATGCAGAGAAGAACAACGAGCTCACAAATAGACACGACGATTCGAAACAAAAACTTTCAGATGTTGGATCTCGAATGGAACTGTTAGAACACAATTCACGGCGAACAATTGAAAAGGGCCTATCAGTTGTTGTAAACAAAACTCGCACGAACCGAAGCTCACCAATGTAAACCAACTACAAAGTTCCCTCTCGGTAGTGTTTCTTGAACAGTGCGTAGATCATCGTACCCAGTTAGGCTATGAACCATTTGGTGGATTATTTTAACTTTTGGTTAAAATTTGACAGATGGAAAGTTATCGATTAACCCTGCTATCCGAGCGTGGTTACTTCTGACAGCCAAGAAGTTAAATTTTGACAACCTTGGCTAAGTTCTTCTCGAAAACCGGTCGATCGACAGCACAGGGATTTTCGAACATAGAAAATAACTTTCGAAATGTCACTTTTAACCACGAGTTAAATTTAACTCGGCAAATGATTCACAGCCTTAGTACGTCGTCAACATAGGTTCTCTTAAGGGGGTATTCCCAATCTTTTGCCTTTTTTCGGCCTGTTTTTCAATTAATTTTTTTTCAAGGAAAATGAATAGTAATGCGCCTAACTCTTTGGGATTCTTGTTTATTGAACATTAAAGTTTACAAATAAATTTTTTTCGACATAAAAAAGACATTATTGACGTCACAAAATGGTGGCAAACAGACCCCTGTTCGCCGCAAACGCCTGGACGGGCGAAGACTTTTCTCTGGAACGGCTTCATCTGAAACAGATTTCGTGATGAAATTATAATCTGCATAAGATTCTCTGGAGCTTCTCCCGTTGGCATCAAAAAATCTTGCAAATTAACAAAATGGCGGCCATATGAAAAAACAGGCGATTTTTAGCCCGCTTTTTTGCAGCTTTAAGGTGCTTCAAACAATGTTAAATGTTAATATTTTTGGCTGAAAGTGGGAGAAGCTCCAAAGAATTTAATAAGGAACAAAATGCGCAAAGATTCAAGTCAATATCTCTTATAGTTTCTGAGAAAAATCTTCGCCCGATAAAAAAAATGTGGTTTCGAGAAAAACGCGTTTAAAGTTTTGACTTTAGTTAAAACCATTTGGGGGTTCTTACCATTAGTCAGCTATGCCTGGACACCGAATTCGCTGATCGGAAAACGGCTTGGGGGGATGAAAGTATATAGTCTAAAGTACAAAAAAACGTGAAAAAAAAAAATTGATTTTTTGAAATAAAAGATCGGGAATACCCCCTTAATTCGAATGCCTGGCGCTGCGAGAGGGTAGGGTTTTCTGTCATCGGTGGCCAATTGGTTGAGAACTCGAGTAAAGTAACCCCTCCATCTATATATCATTCTCGGCTGTTCCTTAATCTAACCTAACTGTTCGGTGGAGCAATAATTTTGAATAGTTTTATTTGTAAACTTTAGCTGTATTTAAACAAACAATTCCGCTTGAAATTATATTGCATTTTGTTGTTTCGATAATATTTATTCGTTTGTCTTTTGTATCTCTTTATTAGGTTTTGTTTGACTTGTACCCCGTCTCGATGAGTCTCATCGTTGCCCACTGATCACCATAGCCGGTCGAACTCCAGACGAATCTAGAACCGTTCATACTGGCGACATCGATCTGATGAGGCAACGAAACCCTGCCCCCAAGCTCCTCCCCTTTTCCTATCTTTCGACAATGTACCCCTCTAACCTTACAGTTTAAAGAGACGTTAATAGACGTATCCACGTATCCCTCTAACCTCGGGTAAGCCACGAGTATTTGGGCCAACTTCTACTACACATAGAATTAAGTGAATTTTTAACAAACAAAGAACAATGAATTATCGGCTCCGAAAAGCTAACGCGATTGAGTTGTAAGGCTAGTTAAAAAATAGTTTGTTTTCATATAGCATTAATTTGTTGTGTTTATTCCCCGGGCGTAACGCATGAATGCAAAAATAACTACCAACCATTCCCTCGTTTTTACCCGGACAAAAATGTAAACAATAATACAAAACTGTTCTCGTTCAAATTCAGCTCTATTTTTCCGCGATCCACGTAAATATTGTATTGAACTGTGAATTTCGAAAATATTGAGACTTGAGGTAAGTAAGTATGCTGCGGTTGCTAAATATAAACAGTTTCTCAGGCAACAATGACCTGACCTCTTTATTTTTACAGTGCGGTTCTGTTTTTCAACCCCTAGCTTATTACAGAAATTTCATAAATTTTAACTTCTGTTACCAAAATGTATAGGAAATTGAAGAAAAATTGTTTGAGAAGAAAAAATGTAGCGAAATAGTTTTACTCAGTCACTTTGTCTAACAAACGGATTTGAAAGAAAGGTTTTCTAAATTAAATTGCAATTCTTTTTGTTACAAAAAGAAAACATAACATAAAAATAATCGTCACATTACTATTGAATAAAAAGTATATTTTTATTTCTGCTGCATGTATTGTCAGGCTTTATAAAATAAATATTATTGAATCAACAAGAAATCTCTTTTAAAAACAAACATATTGTTTTCTGTTGACCCTGCTGCCAAATTTCACAGCTTACATCAAAACCATAAAAGCTTTTGTAAATTCGAAAAGATTTTCTTTTTGATTTAACAATCCATGGGTTTTGAGGAACAAAAATACTGGATTGTTGAAACAATAATGATTTCATGTTGCGGCCAAAACAAAATTAAATTCTGCGTGTAGTACTTTACCTACAATAAGAACAAACATGAACAATTTCAATTTTTCTAACAAGAAAACACTATCAGCAAGAACGAATTTGTTTATTATCGGGGTTGGAACCAGTTCCAAACCAGTGCGAAACCGAACTTTTTGTCAGTGCGAACCTCACCCTGAGGTAGGTTTTTAAAACAAACGATCAAACTGACGTTTGTCAGAAAACATGCACACTCGATCTTGATACCCGATCCAGGTTGGAGCTGCATAATAAACAAATTCGTCCATTTAATTGTTACAGATTTGAGGCCTCAGATAACCTAGTCAATTAAGGGGACGGTATCACCAAGAAAGAAGCGACAGATGTGATTCCCATTTCGGTCTAAAAAATCTTTAGTGTATCATTTTTCTTGACACACAATATGTAAAAGCATGCAATGGTTAATAAAGAAAGCTCGCAATTAATAACTGGGGTAGTTCTTCAAAAAAAACGCTAATATGACAGCCAGCGAAACACTCTCTTACTAAGTGTCAAAAGCTGAAAGGAAAATGAAGATTACTATTTCGAAATATTCCTCGAAAGAATCCAAATGCAGCAATGTTTACAAATAACAAATCATACACTCACCCAGGCTACAAGCTTTCCGCCCCATTAAATTGATTAAAAGTAACCGGCAAAACTATGTAACTCTAACATACATTCACACACACCCATCCCAGAAAGTCATAATTTGCGATTAGCGAATCTCCGTTCCCTCACAACCATTGCGCTATGGGCTTATCACTATACAAACATTAATGGCGGCAGTCTGATCAACGTAGTATCGAACCTGGATTTTAGCTACATATGACAACGTTACACCAACAATACGTGCTAACAGCTCGAGCAGACTGTCATCCAAAATTGCCAATTAGAAAAAAATATGCTGACTTCTCAAAAATTGTAGCAGCCAACAGGTTACATCAGGCTGAAAATACCGAAAACCTTCCCTTTCCTAAAACACCTCAATAATTCACGGCCAAACCAGTGAAAGAAGGATTCGCATTTCCTCCACAATATGTTTCGATTGCATCAGTGGAATTTTTGTTTCCTAATTCCTAATTAGACCGACCCGATTCTGAGGTGGGTACACGTCGACAATAATATATTACCTGCTATCGTCGTCGTCCTCGTCGCCAGAACTGAAATTGATGTCAATTCCCACTCGACTCTTCCAGTCCGAATCGGCCATTTTTTCTCGTTGCGCACGAATTTCAAAATCCTTCTCGCGTCGCAATCACCATTGGAAAATTTGTGTTTTTCGGAAAAGCAAATTCAGTCGAACTTTTTCTTGTCTTCAACAAGGATCCTTATCTGCTGGACACTGGACGGTCGGCAGGGCGATGAAAACAAACAAACTGGACTAAAATTCACACTGCGGAACCGAACACGACGAAAATTAGATCTCCTCAGCCGAAGAGTGAAAATTTTCTGACACTTTCACTGTTTTGTACGATACATGCGCATCTACTCGGCACTGGCGGCCAATTGCCGAGAGCGGAAGAGGCTTCAAAATGGAATGTCAAACATGTAAATCGAATGGAATGCAACCAATGCAACAACCGAGGGGAAAGATACTGCTCTGGTTGTTAATTTGTTTCCTTATTCTCATTAAAACATATTTACATCGATCCGTTATAATCTACACCCCGTTTATAACGTGATATACACTTAATAAATAAATCACATTTCCGATGGAAAATATCCATTACAATTTCACTTAACTTTCATGTGATCATGAATCGCACAACGAAATCACATGAACTTGATGTGTCCTATGAAGTTTATGTGATTTATCATATATAATTCATGTGATCATGTGAATGTTATGTGAATTTCAGATATAAATCATTATTTTGCTATTGGAAAAATATCATGAGCGTTCCCAATGGAAACTATATGAAAACTTTTTTTCAGTGTAGCCTATCTTGATATCAGAATCCATGTTTCAACTGAAAAAGAAGTAGGGGAATTTACGTATTTTCGTCAATCTAAGCAGCGTCTGCACTTCTACTAGCATTTTCTCAGCGTCACGCACATATATGATGTGTCTGTTTGTTTACATTCATCTGCTGCTTGCTTTTCTATCCATTCCAATCGACAGAATTTTTCAAAACGTTTTGAAAGCGTTTTTACAACGCTCCAAACTTCTCAGGTGAGTGTGACTATTGTCGGCAGCCTCTTTTTCTTCGGCAACCTTCCCATTAGAACTGCGTGTTAACCAGCTGTTCTATTATCGGCAACTCGAAATCAACCTAATTTTGTAGTGCGTACGCTTTATTTGAAGAAAAATGTAGCATTACTGGATTGCTCGATCGTTGAAATATAATCAGATTGAAGCTGAAAGGCTAAACAATCGTTTGGACACATTCAGGGATGTGCGTTGATGGGAAAACATAGTGAAATTAACGTTTAAATTTTGGTTGCCGAAAACAGTCAATGGGTGCCGAAGCCAACATTTACCCTATTACCCGATGTATTACCTACGTTTGATTTTGATATCAACACGATTAAAATGCCCTTATACTTTTTGAACATTTCTCGATGAACATTTCAAATGGTCCTGTCTGCGTTGATCGATTCTCTTCATCGACTTTCTCTTTAGATAATCACTGCTATGCAAACAGGTTTCACGCTAATTTTACCGCATACTTGACTAGCCTATTGGTCCAAAGCAAATCGATTAAAGTACCCCATTCTAATCGAAATTCTAAACCTACCCTATGTTTGATTTGATTCGCTATGAAAGTTTGAAAGATAAAATAAGGGGTTCGTGGATTTTCCAATGTTTCGATGGGTGCATCGATTAGCTTGGGACCGAAGATAATACCAGAGCTGAGCCAAAAACTTGACCACTTTTCTTCGGGACCTACTAGTCTTAAGTAGACCCTACACGACAGTTTGTATTGACAATAATCGTATTGTCAATACATTTTATATTGACGTCAATACATCGGTATTGACAATATTTCTGTATTCACATCATCAATATTATTGTCAATACTTGTAAGTATTGACAATATTTCTTACCGTGTGGGGTTCACTTTAGAGTTACCTCTATGGTGATAGTATACATCCTTGTCTAACACCAGCGACTACCCGGATAGGGTCAGACAGGACTCCGTTATGCTGAACTCTGCACGTGAAAGTCTGATACTGTTTTGGCGAGATGGACCAGTCATGGTCTTAGCCTGTCTGAAAAAAGTCTGATACTGCGCTTCGATGAGGTAGACGATTTTATCCGGGACGCCCTTGCGTCTCAGGGCACCTCACAGATTTACGTGATTGAGTCGGTCGATAGCCAAATACCAAATAAAACGACTCTTGGAATTCATTGATCCTGCCTGCTGCCGCCGGAGAGTCGCGTCGTTCTTCTCCTGTATTCGATTCAGGATAACTTTGCACAGAACTTTGAGAACAATACACAGTAGCATGATGCCTCGTCAATTGTCGCACACAGCCAGATCATCCTTCTTTGCGAGGGGGACGACTCTATCTACGATGCAGAAAAGATTGTGTTTTGCTGTGGCTAGCTGCATGCACGCTGAGTAGATAGAAGGAAGATTTATGTCGATTTTGAAGATTTCCTGCAAAAAGATGAAGCACGATGCAAGTAGATGCGAGAAATGAACGATGATTTTTCGAAGATTGATTCGCTAGTGTGAGATTTTTTGAGCATCTAGAATTGAGATTTAGATGTGTCGCCCCCCTCGCTTCTTTGGGATCTTCACTAAGACGCCCTGCCTCCAGTCGGCCGGAAAAGTTGCGGTATCCCAGATATTACAGAATAGTTGATGCAAAATTTGAGCGGATAGCATGGGGCCAGCTTTGAGCATCTCTGCTGATATGCGATCGACGCCTGGAGCCTTGTTGGATTTCATTATTCGAATAGCTGCTTCAATCTCCTGCAGTGATTGGGTCTCGGGATTGCCACGAGTGATGCGCTGCACCCTATGCGGATCATGCCGAGATGTTGATTGCTGGTTGGCCGTCGAAACTTGTAGAAGTTGTTCGAAGTGCTCAAAACAGCATTTCAGCTGGTCAGTGGGGTCGGTAAGCAACTGTCCAGTCGTATCCTGCACTGGCATCCTCAGGCGAGTCCTCGGGTTCATCCTTGCTCCACTTAGGCGTCGTGAGATATCGTAGAAGAGGCGTATATCACCTGTGTTTGCGGATTTCTTCCCTTTGTCGACCAGGGAGTTCACCCACGCGCTCGCTTGTCCCGTCTGCAAAAGCGCTTGACTTCCTTTTCTAGAGCCGAGTACCATTGACGGGCTTCGTTCTTGGCTCTGGTTCTCGCCCGCTCAATCGCGGCTTTTGCTTCTATACGCTCCTCAATCTTCCGCCAGGTTTCATCTGTGATCCACTCTTTCCTCTGGGTGCGCGGCTCACCCAGGTTGTTTTCGCTTGTTTCATTCAAGGCATTCTTGATGGCCGTCCATTGTTCTTCTACGCTGCCACCTTCTGGAACGTCCGCAGCTCGAGTATCAAGTTCGCTATGCGTAGGCGGATCTCGCCGATTAGAAGGTGATGGTCAGACGCGATGTCGGCGCCGCGTTTATTCCGGACATCAAGAAGGCTCCGTCTCCATTTTCGGTTGATGCAGATGTGGTCGATCTGATTTTCGGTATGTCCATCACGGGAAACCTACGTGACTTTGTTCACTGGCCGATGGGGGAAGAGCGAACCCCCGATCACCATGTCGTTATTGCCACAAAATTCTGCAAACAGCTCATCGTTTTCGCTCATTTCGTCGAGACCATGGCGTCCCATGACACACTCATAGTCCGTGTTGCCGGAGCCGATTTTTGCATTGAAGTCGCCAGTGTAGATCTTGATGTCACCCTTTGGAACCTTATCCACAACGGCATTCAGTTGAAAAAAAATATCCTTATCCTGTAGGTAGGCAGCATCGGTTGGCGCATAACATTGGATTATGGTAAGGTTACGAACCCGTGTTCTAAATCTGGCAACGATTATCCTCTCATTAATAGGCTCCCACTTGATGAGCGCAGCACTTGCCTGGACGCTAAGTAGAAGACCAACTCCACGATAGCGGGGAGCTTTTTCACCTCGAATACCAGAGTATAGTAGTACCTATCCCGCCGGCAGTTTGTGTTCTCCAAAGTTTGGCCAACGAACTTCACTCACTCCTAGGATTGCTAGCTTCGTGCGTCGCGCCTCGTTGGCGAGTTGTGCCAGCGTGTCCGTTGTTTTGCGCTAAAAGTCGTTGCCGTTAAATCAGTTCGATGTCTTTCTCTGTTGGTTTCTTGAACAAATGATTTCAGACGGTATGTGGTTAGCCTAAGGTCTCCTATCCACCGTGATGGGGCTGCCATCTTAGGTGTAGCTTCCGGGGATGAGTTTTTTCTTATTCAGCCGGTAGATGCCAGTCAGACGCTATTTGAGTCGCACCTCCATGGTGAACAGACGCTCGGGTTGATGAAGCATTTCTTCTATCGCCGTGCTATGGTAAAGTATGACAAGATGGCTTATGAGAGCAAAGAAAGGCAAACTCATTGCTGCATGAACTGAAGTTCATCGGTGCACTCGTCTAAAAGTATAAAACTAATGAAGATCATATGTAAATTTAAACTGTATTAATGGTCACGCATATAGTTTATATGTTCGTGTGGTTTCCCAAATAGAAAGTATTAAACAGATGTATTGGCAAAACATCATTAATGAAACACATGAATAAAATACTTGATAAAATAATTGATGCGTAAAGATACTCTATTATCACGTATTGTTTGTTTATTTAAAAACTGAAATGCTTCGCTAGTCCATACTGGCGAACTTCGATTTTGTGCTTAAGCGACAATAACATATCCTGCAGTATGAACGGGTTGTTAATAATCTTAACATCAGTACATTCGTTTAAAATGTACCATAAAATAATCTATGGATACCGCAGGTTACCAATTAATTACTAAAAAAGCTACGCACAATGCATCCGGATCTCATCCGTTACGGCAAATGACAGCTAAATCTATTGTCTAACTGATTTTTCGCAACGGACCAGATTCGGATGTACTGGCTATGACGGCGACTCTCTAGCTCTTTATTGCTATATCAGATGTCAGACTTTGCGTGAAACATGGTGGATTTTTCGACGGTGTCGTCAACGCTAATTGTGCGAGACTCTTAGCCCAAGTTTGTTTCACTTATGGGTACTTCTACTCTTAAATCTAATCTTTAGAAGGGGCTGGACGACAAGGCACTGCTAATCCGTTGGTCATGTTGTCGGTCAGTTTGCTTGATCCCTGTTGAGTAAAGTCGGGGTCTGATCACATGTACAATACCACGAGAGGGGCGACACATCTAAATCTCAAGTTTAGATAGTCAACAAATCTCACACTAGTGAATCAATCTTCGAACAATCTTCTTTCATTTGTCGCATCTACTTGCATCGCTCATCAATTTTTTGCAGAAAATCTTCAGAATCGTCATCAATCTTCTTTCTATCTACTCAGCGTGCGCGCAGCTAACCACAGCAAAACACAATCTTTTTTGCATCGTAGATAGAGTCGTCCCCCTCGCAATACCATCATAACCTACATTTTAAAATGGTGGTCGTCGTTTCGGTGGAGGACTAATATTTTAGTGGTAAACATTATGAACACCTGAAATGAAATTGACATTGCTCTAATTTATTTGCTATTTATTTATGTCCTATTCTGCGCGGCGTTTGAGATGAGGTGACAGTGAAGTGATGGTGAAGTCACATTTGTTACGTCGGGTGAGGTGACTCTCCATTTGATTGGCACGGAGGTAACAATTATCTTTTTACTGGTAACAGCGGGTCACCTCACCTCACACGCCGCGCTGAATAGGCCTAATTAACTATTTTATTTGTTTTAAAACATTGATTTCATTTAGCAATTGTATAAATTGATATCACCGTTATCTTCACTGTATCCTTCCCCTCATCGGATCAATGCATCAAATGACACTTCGTATCACACCACAATCACCTGCTCTTATGCAAACACATCAACACCAAGCATGCCGTACTTCCAGGGGGTGTGTTCTACGGCAACCAATCAGCGCATTTGTTTACACGGTTTCTCCAAATCCTCTCTTTTTCAAGTGAGAAAAGGCACCTATACTGACTCTCCATGCATTCATCTCTCGCAATTTGAACACACCGGAAATCGGTATGAAGGGGGATCATCGCAAATCAGAAGACTTGAGTGCAATATCCTTTCGGTCTCTTCGAGCCATTCACACTACATTCAACCTGTCCTGATGTTAGTTGAGTAAGGTGAATAATAGGGAAGACAAATATCATCAGTTTAGATTTACTCCTGACGGGATCAAGACTTACGTGTGCTCCTTCGACAATAACAGTAGTCAATACTTTAAGTTGACTGTGTAGCTATCATGATGCTTACGGACAACAATAATACCAGTGCAATATACAACCTTGAAGAAGTGACCGACAGTAGTAGAACTACAGAAAGTGAACCCATCGTGAGCAATAGGCCATCGTCGCCACGAAAGTTCTTCGAACGGCTTTACGGTCACCTGGAAAAGGGGAATCCCACTCCTCCTTGTGACCAGGCTAGTGTAGTGACTGAAAATGCCCGCATCCAAACTAGTGATAGCCATCGATCACCATCGGTGAGTTCCGACAGCACGTGTCGATCTTCTCCCACATTGGATATTGAAGATACGGAAGAGCTCAGTTCCTTCTACGGTGATGAAGTGCGAACCGGAAATTCTTACAATCAGCGAACGTACCCAGGATATACCGCTTCGCAATCATTAAACCAGACAACGTTTGGACATCAAGGATTAGCTGCCGTGCAACCACTGACACCACTGGTTGGTTCTTATGGTGGTGGTACGTTCAGGCCTTTCTTCGGGCTTGGACCAGACGGATCACAAATACCGGCGGGATTGTCTGCATTTCGTAAGTAATTTTTAAAGATGTCGTCGTGAATATATTTGAAATCAACGAGTTGTAGTTTGTAAAAATTAATTGAATTAATACAAACACCAATTATCCCAAGAAACGCCCAGAATTTTGTTTGTTCTGGAACCTACGACCAATTAACATTTTCCAAAACTTTGAAAATAGTAACAGTTACGTGATTTTGGTTGATTTTTTGACGGTGTTTTTGAGTAGCAATTGAATATTTGAAAGATCACTCCCAAATGCAATCACGTCGTCTTATTTGGAACAGATTTTTGTGTGAGGTAAATTAAACACGTGTGTAGTTCGAACATGTTTTACACGATAATTCTCACAGGAAATACAGAATGTCAAATCCATTGAAATCGTTCTGAAAACAATGGTTGAAATTGAGGTTATTTGGTAAAAAGTTTTTAAATTAAATTTAAGTTAAATTTTTCAGTGTTCTCTATTAAAGAAAGTTCTTCAAAATCCTAAAAAATTATATATCGCTGCAAAATCGATGATTTCTTTTCAATTCAAATGTTGTTGGTGAACTCGTTCAGAAATGGCTAAAAATTACTCTAAGAAAGAATTTAAAAAAAAAGTATTCCTCTATGAAAAACAAAGGATTTTTGTTTCACAGCTATGACTTAAATTTGACAGATGATACATTTTAGAATAGTCCTGATTTCCTAGTAAATACCCTATGGTAGACGAGAACTTGAATTCCTCAATTGGAACACAGCTTAATTCAATAAGCGCGGCCACGATTAGATTTGTAGCGAAGTTTTCAAACAACAAGGTTACAACAAGACAAAGTTGGCTATTTTGTATGAATACCGTCATGCGCTACAAACAGCACAACACTGTGTATACGGCATTATACATTTAAAAATAAAATTGGGTTACACTACTTTAGATAAATAAAATTTATAGGCGCCGCATATTGACCAATTTACATTTGAAGTGACAAACCCCAAAACCAACTTTATACCATAAGAATGAGCATAAGCACGATTGACCGCCCGAGGATGCAACTCCGTTATTGCCAGATCAGCTGTTATTAGATAACCAATAGACGTTGCTTGGGACTAACAAAACAATCACCCTCAATGAGTAATACTGATGATCTAAAACTAAGCAATACCAATGCCGGGTACGTCAGAATGCTGGTCGCTTTAATGAAAGCCGAGAACACCTCTGCACTTTCACGATAAATCACTGCGATGTTGGATATAAGGGTTGGGATTGCAGCAGGATTTGTTATGGTAAACAATATGCTGAATTGATTTCCTAACAATTCAATATCGCGAAGTAGGTTGGGTTTGAACCCACGGTCTTCTGCTCAGTAAGCAAAATCGGTCGCCACTAGGCCACCCAGCTTCTTATGTTAGATTTTTTTTTCACAAAATAATTACGATCAAGTTATCGCTCAACTTGTTGTAACTAGGTTCTGATCCTGACAGGAACCTCATCGACGACGACAACAAATGCTCTTGATAAGGATTTGATATGGATTTCCGAGCAACACATATATTATATAACTCAAATATTACTTATTTTACGTATGCGTCCTTTCAACCGAGTTTCATTACGCTTTATATTGCCGTTTCAGAGAAAATAATTCGACGCAACTAACAGCTACAGCATGCTATTAAAGCTGATAATCTGACGCCAAATGCTAATTTTTCTCTGAATTGGCAATATCATATTATTAAAGTTAGGCGATTTAAAGTTTAACTCTATAATGTGAAGGAGCTTGGGTTTGACCCATGATTTTCTGCTCAGTAAGCTAAATCGGTCGCCACAAGGCAACCGAGCTCCTCATTTCACAAAACAATTACGTTCTTGTTCAACTTGCTGTTAGTAGATTTCGATACCGGCGGCGACCTAGCCGTCGACGATAACAACTGCTCTTGAGATTTCCGATCAACATGTCTTTCCTAAAACTTGAATATTATTTCTTTTAAGTACTCGTTCCTCCAACCGAATTTCGCTTTACCTCATATTTAAACAAACTCACGTCTCTTTTTTTTTTAATTATCAGTCAGACTGCTTTCAGGAATAATGCTGGGAAGTAAACATTGATTCCTATTTAAACAAGGATGCCCAGCCACGCCTATCTTGGACATGTTGATGTAGTTTACTTCCTTAACGAGAGACCACCGACTTAGCGACACTCTCATAACTTATGACTTATAAGTGCTACGAAGTAAGAAAATTGGTTAGGCTCATAGGTCAGTATTAGCTTCAAACTGACGATACGACCAAAAGCAGATGTTGCTTAAGTGTTGCTCATTTAATCTTTCGACTTGCTTTAATCATTTCTCCTCATCTAGACTTTTACGCTTCTATTTTATTTCTGGCCAAATATCGAGATTACAGCGCTTGCAGAATAAAATAATGCGTTTGATTTTGAGATGTAATAGATTTACTTCCTCAACTTTGATGCTGGACGCCTTTCAATGGTTGTCGGTGAAGCAAAGAATTGTATATTTGACTATGGTGTTCATTTTTAAAGTAGTTAACGGCTGCCTCGATATTTGTGTGATCGAATAGAAAGAGGAAGTGACTTTCATAGATATAATACTGGAAACGAGGCTGAAATAGGAACACCACATTTCTTGACTTGTGAAGGAATAAATGTTTTCAATTCGATGCCTAGACATATCAAACGTTCAGCAACACTTACAAAATTTTAAAGACACTGCATTTCACACGTTAAACTTGTCCTTTGAACAGTTATCCAGTGATTTTTTTTTATGAATTGACAAATTATGTATCTTGACGAAGTTGTTTATAACGAATAATTTTGTATGGATAGCTGCCATCATGACTTTTTAATAATTATTGTAGCACTGCAAAAACCATGGATGGTGATGATGGATTTTTTAGAATTTAATTTAATGGTAATAGATTTAAAAAAAAGTAGTCTACAAAGGTTTGAGCCTCTCACGCGTATTCCGGATACAGAGGACTGAATTAAACATTTGACATTTGATAAATTTAAAAGATACCTTGAGTTAATAGTAAGTTTTCTGGCAAATGTTGGGGGTTCGTGAGCATTTCTGACATCGCTGAAAATTTTGATAGCATCAGATTGCGGGGTTGCTAGTGTAATAAGATGCTTTGTTGATTGTTCATTAACTCTTGATTGCTTGTAATACTTATGAATATTTTAGGTGGACAAAAAGGCGAACTAAGAGGTGGATGCCTGAGCTTTTCCACATTTATCACCCCAATTCTGTATTTCGTTCGAAACGAAATTCCTATACAAAATAAAAAAAAAATTGTATGGGTATTTCGTTTCGAACGAAATACAGAATAGGGGTGTATATCTCTGTGAAGCAACTGTAAACTCTAGAGGGAATTTATATCTGTAACTGTACCAGTTCGATTTTGTTTGCTAACCTTGTTAAAATGTCATATTTAATTATCTTAAAGATAAATCGTCCAGCTCAAACCTTTGTAGGGGTAAGAGGTGGGACCATCATCATCATCATCATCTATAAGAGTATATTCATTTTATTTAGTGTTTGCCATTTTAAGGTTAATGGTTACCGATAGGTAGGGAATAGTTCCCATGTAATTATGATTTAAACATTTCAACGCCGTTTTATACTCTCGAAACCCTGCGATGCGATTTATTCTGTTGTGGAAGAGCTTGGCTAAGTAAGCAAAAACGATCCCTCTATCTCAAAACCACAACACTCTACGACAAAACACGATTAAGTTTTCGCTTGGTAAAGGGTGTCCTCAGTTAAATTGCATCACAGTACTCGACAAAAATAAGTCTCTCAACCGATTGTCATGAAATTATCAGGGAATGTAATACCATACAGGTAACTAAGACCAGAAGCTCCCGCAGAAAAGTGCTCAACTTTTTGGTTCAACTCTGGTACTCTCTTCGGTCCCAAGCTGATGGATGCACCCCTCGAAGCATATGAAAATCCACGAACCCCTCATTTTATCTGTCAAACTTTCATAGCGAATCAAAACAAACATAATTTAGTACTAGAATTTCGTCTAGAATGGGGTGCGCTTAAAGATGTACTTGGGACTAGTCTTGTAAGCGGTCACCGTAGTTGACACATTTTCTGTGATAATCGACTACCTTTGCTTCCGACACTTGCAAAACAAGCTATAAAATAACAGTACAAAACTAAAATGTAATATGACAAGTTCTGTCATGCGACACTGTCGCCAAAGACTGTCACGAATGTATGTTTTTTAGTTTTTCTTATAAGCTACTGATGTAGTGCTTGTGTGACTTCTGGAAATAGCAAGCAACGATGTCCCAGTAATAACATTTTTGATTAGAAATTGTTTAATTTACTCCAAATTAAGGACGAAATCACACATGTCATATGATAGTTGTTAAATAATTTTCTTTTTGCTCGCCGTTTGTGTTGTGTGAGAGAGACGACGGTAGATCATGAGTGTACGAATACAAACAGACTGTTGCGCACGACATCGTAGCGAGTGTAGCAAAAACCGACAATGTTTCAACCCCTGATTGCGACCAATAAGCTAGTCAAGTACACGGATAGAAATCTTCTTATACCTTTTGGCAAATTTCTATTGCTGATTATTCATAAAATGTATAAGTCAACTAATAAGCAGACGCCTTGCAAAAAGTTAATGAAGCTCATGTGTCAAATGAAATGTATAAGCGGTTACACATACCTTTTATGCATTCTTGTAGGACCTATGTGGTTTGTCTTATGGAATGCTGATGCTTTGGCAAAAATGTATAAGTGAAACACATGAATAAAATAATTGATTTTCGTTTCGTTTAGTGAGCCAATTTAAAATCGTTAGTTTCCACCGGTTGGTAATACCATAGAGGTAACTCTAAGACCAGAAGGTCTTGAAGAAACGAGCTCAACTTTTTGGCTCAGCTTTGGTACTATCTTCGGTCCCAAGCTAATTGATTCACCCCTCGAAACATAGGAAAATCCACTAACCCCTCATTTTATCTATCAAACTTTCATAGCGAATGAAAACAAACATAG